AAAAAATAATCATTTAATTTGTTATGTCGACATTTAATTATGACTTTTTTTTTGTTTTTATTTTCAATAAAAATTAATCTAAATTTTTTTTATTTACGAATTAACGGGTTTAAATTAAAATTAATTTGAATAAATTTTATTTTATTTTTATTTAAGTATTTTACGCTAATTATGTGCTGCTGATTTTGCATTTTATTATTATTTTTATTATTTGAATGGGTTTTTTAATGTTCTTTATTCTTATTATGTGAGGACACATCACGATGATCTCATATTATGGCATCACATTTCCAAAATTTTTAAAATTCTTGCTAAAAGCAAAAGTTTAATAATACCTTACGGAGTAATTATATTTCTGTGTATTTGGCTTGAGTCTACCTTGAATGTTTGGTACAATCTTATTTTTTTTTTTATTTAAATTATTGTCATTGATAAAATTGAAAGGTTTCAAGAGACAATAATTTTGTTGAAAGCTGACATTTAAGCTTGGCACGCAACCATTGTTATTTGATTGATCTCTGTATATAACGCAATTAACATTTTACATTGCAAGTCAATCAACTAAAAACACTCGAGGCATACTTTAAAAAATTAACCCGATTTAAGCTAACTATGAAGGTAAGACATAAACTGTAATAAGATAAACTAAAAATTAGCAAATTTAACAAATAATGATACTTAAATTTAAATACAAACTCAATGAACATATGTCGAAAGAGATATAAATACATAATAGATGTTCTTTAAATATATTTTACCATAAATAGTATATAATAGCATACTAATAATAGTAATATAAATAGTATTATCGTAAATAGTATTCAAATTATTAAATTGTTTCCATAGACCATACGTTACTTTACATGATTTACTACTCAAAAAAATTCTAACGAATACGAATAAACTAAATGAAATACAATTATTTAATTATAAATTATTAGTATCCAGAAAAATATGCGAACATAAAAGTCAAGTATGGCTTTGGGTCAGTAGATTAATGAACGCTGACTCTGAACGTTAAATTTGGCAGAACCCGAGTTCGATTCCTACCAAATCACATTTAGTTACTTAATATTTAGATTTATTAAATCGTCTAATACGAAGAAGTTGCAGAATGTGCTTTATATTTGTTATATCAATATCTAGCTCACTAGATACTAGATATTACTGTATAGAGTAGATAGAGGTTTTCAATTTTTTTTACTTCACAAACACATTTAGAATTGTGATTAGAATCTAACTGTAGTTATATAGTGTGTTAACAAACAACACTTCTACCTTTTTGTGAAGTGCTGGAAATTGTATAGCGGGTCATTATATGTCTCGGGGAACATATTTTCAAAAACTGTGTTCTTAACACAATCTTAGTGAGCTGCAAACTTAATCAACTACAAAATTTTCCATTAAAGAGCATCTAATACTTAATGTAAAATTTAAAATAATTTAAAACTCTTCGAAATATATACAGCAACTCTCAATGAATCAAGAGTGGATCACTGCTATGATCTAAATTAACCCAATAAAACTTTTATATAAACTATTTTTTTTTAAATAATTTCTACTGCCTTGCAGGTCTCTTTGCTAAATATGCTAAATATGCAACTCTACTTAAAAGAACAAGAACAAAGAAATCAATATGCGCAGTTAGATACCGCCTATATTGTTGCAATATTTAAATAAACTTAAAAATATTTATTTTAATCAAAGTATTTATTAAATTAATAAAAAACAGGGCTAAAGTTATTTGTTGTTTATTCATTTATAGCAAAAGCGATTAACCTAAAAAAGTGGTAGCTACATATTTAAATATGAATATACATATATAAACTTACTGCGTACACAATCGTGAAGTAAACATATTACAATAGGAAAAAAAATATACATTATATATCGAATGAATTGTTTAGATCTTAGAAAATGTTAATATAATTCATTTAATTAATGTTATAAAATTAAATTAAGTGTTAAATTTTTTAAAAACAAATGAGTTCTGTGTTATTTAAATTACAAAAAATTACATGAGACAAAAAATTAATTAGGTTGTAAACAAATAAAACTAGATGGTTTTTCCAATCTTAACGAAAGATTGGAAACTTTAGTATTAAATATTGAATCAATGTATCTTTTTCAATTCAAACTCATGTAAGAAATTTATCATATAATTAAAAAAAACATCTAGTACATATAGTAATTATAACAAACCAAATTCGAAAATACTCTTACTAAATTGTCTAACATTATAGATAATTTTAAAACAGATCAATTGATTATACTAAATTTACAAATTTATTTCATCATAATATAAATTTCTTTCATATGTATATTCATAGTAAAATTAGTTGTTTTAAATACTGAAGTCATTTTTAAAACAAACAAGGCGAATTGATTAATATTAACACTGCAGATTACCGGAGATCAATTCACACATTTCTTCCAACAAAAAAACTCACAGAGAGACAAACGAATAGATAAACATTTTAACTAGTACATAAAATGTGAAACAAATCAATCTAACACGTACAGAAATACAATAAATAATTAAGGAAGATATTGCTTTTATTTAAACAATAAAACTATGTGTTTAACTACTTGTACGTAGGTATATATGTTGAAAAAGGAAATTGACCTATTTCTTAAAAAAAAATTTTAAGTATAATTAAATATTTAAAATGATTAATTATATTATTATTAATAATAATTAAGATTTCTGTTAAATAAATTTTTTATATAACTTAATAAGTTTTTAATTTAGTTAT